TGTGTCTTCAATTATTTGGAAGTACTGAGACCCAAAAAAAACCTCATTATATTTAGGGCCTAGCGAAGGCTTAGGAAAAGGTCAGAGAAATAGCACCCCAGGTTGCATGGGTGGCCCTGAGATCAGGGATCTGGTCATCATTTGGTTTTCTCTTGGATAGTGGGCAGGCTCAAGTTAAAGAGATAGTGAAGGTATAGGGAAGATCTTTTTCTGGATTATCAATAAATCACCCAACACTTATTAAACACCTTGTCAAGTCAGAGGAAGGGTAGTGCAGTGGATAGAGAACAGGTTCTGACACATGGTGATTCTGGACAAGCAATTTGACCTCTCATTGTTCTAAACATGGCAGCAAGATTGTAAGTTGTAGAGAAGCTACCAGCCTGCATTGGTAGAGGGAGTTTCCTAACAAAGGAATTGCAAAGAGCAATGAAGTCACAGAACCAATCCCTAATGCTATCTCAACTATGTGCCAGAAACTGTATTAGGCACTGAATAGTAATAACTACTTGCCTTTGCATAGCAATCTACAATTTAAAAAGTTCTTTCTCTCACACTAATACATTAGAGCCTCACAACATTCTTGTGAGGCAAAACGAGTAGGAACTATTTTCCCCATATTATATTGAAAAGGCTCAGAAAGTTTAAGGGACTTGTCACAAGTGGTAGAGGTGGGACTTAAACCCAAGTTTTCTGATTCCATTTTATTTGTTTATATATTGCTTTTTGGTGAGGAGATCGGGGTCAAGTGACTTGCCCAGGGTCACACAGCTACTAAATGTTAAGTGTCTGAGGCTGGATTTGAACTCAGGTCCTCCTGACTCTAAGACCAGAGCTCTATTCACTGCACCACCTAGCTGCTCCCCTGATTCCATTTTAAAGCAGTAAGGGGGCATATAAGTCATCTAATTCAACCTACTCACTTTATAGGTGAGGAGACTGAGGCTCAGAGAGATTGTGAAACCCCACACTGGGACACACCTATCTTATCACAGAAAGCATACTACTCTAGTGAGAGTTTGTAGAAAGAATCTTTAAAACTCTCTTGATCAAGTTTATCAGTCCCATGGTGCCACTTTAAAGAATGGAGCAAAGGTCTAAGTCAGGTTTCTTAGCCATGTTCTTAGTCCTTTGTCCGTCTGGTGAAACTTACGGACCATTTCTCATAATAATATATCTAAAAACATAACATATATTTGATCATCAAGGAAAACAAGTGAAATTATCTTCTTTCTCTTTCTCTGTCTATCCCTCTCAAAAGTTCACAGACCCCAGATTACAAATCACTGTTCTAACTGAAGCTATATTAAAAGAGCAGAGAGAAGGCAAGTAAATCACTGGTGGCTTTCTTGCCTAGAAGGCAATGAGCAGGGCTCATCTGGGAGTAAGGTAAGAGAAAGGTTGGCAGTGGGAGAGATTGGTCTATAGAAACTCTGAACCAGTGAGATTTGATTTGGCAAGGTGCCTAGACCAATGAGTATGGTGGGTATGGAGAGAGTAACACTGGTAACATATAATCAAGGCACCTCCCTCTTTCTGCCTACCATTGTTTCTACTGGAAGCAGAAGCAAACACTGCAGTCACAGCTGCTCTGGGCAGTCTAACACTGCCTGAGAAAAAGCCCGGATGCCCACTTGCACCAAAGCATACTATTTTCATTTGCAGTTCTAGCATTCCTATGAATTACCCCTATTCCTGACACTTAATTCCTAAATGTAACTAATTTATGTCACTCCAATTTCACAGATAAAATGTGAGAAATCTGTTTTCCTCACTGCTGCATCTCCTCCTGTTTCCCAGCTTTGTTTGCTTTTTCCTGTGCTTTGCCCCTGCCAGTTCGAGTAATCCCAGCATTTATATGCCTCATTAGGTTCATCGCGCTCTCCACAGTGCCTGATGTAATCAAGTCAAGAAGCCTTCCTCCTTCGCCCTCTCTGGGCAGAGTTGTGAGGCCTTCTCCATGGCAGAGATGCCAAATAAGATTGCCATGTTGATGAGAATGGGGAAGGGGGTGTGGCTTTCTGTGAGGTAAAGCTGTGGTCATCCTACTGAGCCATAAACTGGGAGTTGACATAAACTGGCTGGACAAACCAATCCCTTGCTGCAGGATGGCTAGACATGATGTCAGGAATCAGGGTACCAGCCGGGAATCTGAATCGCCCATTCTACCTAATAAAATGCAAATACCTTTTGGAGTATGGTTCTCCTGATAGCCTTGGCAACTGACATCATTTTGCAAATGAAGGGCTATGAATTTGGAGAGTCAGTTTCCCTTATCTTATTTTTCCTATGCCTTTCATCTTAGAATCATATAATTTTAGAGATGCTAAGAGTTGAGAAGATATTCCTCTGGTATCTGGAGTGGATACAGAGTAGGAAATAATAGGATAGGTGTACAGCCAGCCCCTGGGGGAACCAAATCTCCCTTGACTTTAGTTTTTTGATCTATCAAATGGTATAATAATACTTTTAGGCTAAAGGTCAATGGGTTGGATAACTAGGATTTAGTTGTTGTCATTCAGTCATTTCAGTCACATCTAACTCTTTGTGACAAAATTTGTAGTTTTTTAGGCAAAGATACTGGAGTGATTTCCCATTTTCTTCTCCAGTTCATTTTTACAGAAGAGGAAACTGAGGCAAACAGGGTTAAGTGACTTGCCTGGGGTCACTCACATAGTAAGTGTGTGAAGCCATATTTGAACTCTGGTCTTCTTGATTCCTGACCGAACACTCTATCCACTGTGCCACTTACCTGACTTCTAAGAGATAAGGAGGGGAATTTTTGAAGGGTACTCAGGAGGGATTAATCTCCTGGTCAGAATTAATCACTTTCTCATTGCCATCATCTATCCCTACCCTTGTTACTGTTGGCCCGGACATTTCTCAAACCCCACACTTTTCAAACTGTCAGTTCTTCCATAATGATCTAATTTTTTCCCATCCTACCAGTCTTTTAGCCTATCAAGGAACAATCCTGGAAATAACAGCAATGAAAGTATTAGTAGGAAGTCAAATACTTTGCATTTATTTAGTGATTTTCCTCTTTTCCAAGTACTTTTACATGATATTTTATTCATCCTTACCACTGTGAGAAGTAGGACAGTTACTGTTATTCACATTCTCCAAACTGGAAAATTGAGGCATACAGAACTTGATCAGATTGGTACTTGTAATATTCATGATGCTTTTCAGTTATAAAGAACTTGACACCCGTTGTACAATCTGATCCTCACAACACTCTCTCCTCTGATACTGCCTCCATCCTGGTACAGACTCCCATCCCCTCACACCCAGCCTACTGCAGTAGCCTGCTGATTGATATGCCTGCCACAACTCTCTCCTCACTACTGTCTGTCCCTTACTCAGCTGACAAAGTGATCTTTCTAAAATACATATCTGACCAGTCACTCTCTTACTAAAAAAAATTCCAGGCTCCCTATCATCTCCAGGATCAAATATAAAATTCTGTCTTTGGTGTTCAAAGCCCTGCATAACCTCCCCCCCACCAAATCTTTTCAGTTTTCTTACAACTTGCAACCCTCCCCACCTTTTCAGTTTTTTTATACCTTCTACCTCCCTCCTATCCATGTACTCTGCTACCCAGTGACACTACCTTTCTTGAGTTCCTTGAACAAGAAACTTCATCTCGCACTTCTGGGAATGTTTACTGGCTGTCTTCCATGCCTAAAATACTCTTCCTCCTCATCTCCACTTTCTGGAGTCTCTGGCTTCCTTCAAGTCCCAGCTAAAATCCCACTTTCTACAAGAATCCTTTCCAGATCCCCCTTAATTCTAGTGCCTTCCCTCTATAGACTGTTTCCAATTTATCCTATATATGGCTTGTTTGTACATAGTTATTTACATGATATCGTCACCATTAGACTATAACCCCGTTGAGATCAGAGACTAATTTTTTTGCCTTTCCCTGTATCTCCAGTACTTAGAACAGTGCCTGCCACATAGTAGATGCTTAAATAAATATTTATTGACTGACTAACAGCATTAAAAACAAGCATTAATGGAAAACATTAAAATTTCAATCTTGCCTATTGGGACTTTTAGAGACATTAAATGACTTGCCCAGGTCATACAACAAACAAGTGGGAGAGCTGGGACTTGAATGCAGGTCTTTTCACTCCATATTCAATGCTTTTCATTAAGTAATTTTTTTTAAGTATCACACAGCTGGCCAGTGGCTCCAACCTTGACTTCCTGACTTACAGTCTGTTCTGTTTCTACTTGATCAGGATATCTACTAGTGGCAAAAACAGGGTGAGAAATGTGATGGCAGCATTGAATGGTAGACATGCATGGTTGGTGATGGTAGGTTAGCCTTGGCTGACCATGTCTGTAGCTACCTTGATTTCAAAGGAATGAATAGGGGTGATGGCTACAACTCTGGACAGTTCAGATCTCACCACCTCCTACACTAGATTAGTTTCTAGACTTGGATGGGTTCAACAATGTATTTGAGTACCCTGCCCTGCTTATCTTCTGAGGAGTAACTCTAGTGCCTATTGGAAGAAATCAAATTCCGAATATAGGCCAATTCCAACTGAGCCTCTACTTTGAAAAGGCAGCCTTTTCATAATAAAGCTTTGAACATATCTTTGTCTCCAAGGAGAAGCTACACTAAATTCAACGCACTATCTTTGCAGGTCAACACAAGGCATTCATCTGCTTTGGGCTCCCATTGGATCCCCCCCTTGATGTTGTCTTGTGCACAAATAAGGGGGTGGTCATATCACCAAAAATATAACCCACTTCCAATTTATTTTTGCAAGGCAAGTGATGATAATATCTCCAGTGTGTGCATGGCAAAGTCACTGCACTTTAAGTGAATGTTACCAGGCTGTACAATCTGAGACCCTTGAAGTCTATCCCTTAGAGAAAGATCAGTTAGGGGGGTGGAGCAGGCAAGGGGGCCTCTGAAGTAGGCTTAGGTTCAAAAGCATCAGCATAAAGGCAGGCAGATGAAGAAAGGAACATGCTGTACCCACCTGCCACTGCTGATGTTGGGCTTATTTCTAAGACACACACAGCACAATGCACACACAATGCAGAGAGGAAACAAAAGACATAGATCACAAATTTGAGATGGTTGATGGATAAAGTTTAGCTAATGTCAATGCTGAAAGCTTGCTCAGGGGTCCAAGATGAGCATGGAAAGTTGATGTCCTCTTCACTCTATGCACCAGATGCTCCCCTCTTACCAAACCTCAGCAGATAAACAAACAAACAAATAAATTCTATACGACACACATATATTCCCCACACTGGGACCTATGGCACATGAAATGAGAAGCTGAGGGGACTTTGTCACAAAGGGATGGGCATGAGATGTTTGGGGAAGTAGGAACAGCTGTGATAGGTTTCAGAGAAGGTTTCATGGCTTGGGAGTATACATCTCTACATATTAGAAAATAGTCCTTTCAGGGAATAATTAGATATTTGAAGCGGGGGGTGGGTGTAGCAGTACTTGGGTTTCTGCTCTGTTTATTCCAGTAGATTGAGAATAAAAATGACAGCAGAAGGTTGTCTTAAAAACTGAAAAAGAAAATTCACTAGAAGCATTGAATATTGTGACCAAAGGGACCTTGGGAATTCATCTTATCCATCCCTCAACCTCTAGATGATACTGCATTTGAACTCTCAATCATAATAACTGTCTACATTTCAGCAAGTCAGACACCATTGAGGCTGGCTTAATTTCTTTTCTCCCATGACAATCAGAGAAATGTTAACTGAAACCAGATGCGTGCCCTGTAGTGACAGTAGTTACACTGAAACCACCTCCCAAAGGGATCAGGGAACCTTATTCATCTTATTAACATCACCATATCCTCTGGGAGAGCAGAGAAGGGGAAGAGTTCCTTATTCCTTCACTCTCAGGGACACAGGCCATGCAAAGTCTCAGTCTCTCTCTCTCTCTCTCTCTCTCTCTCTCTCTCTCTCTTTCTCTCTCTCCAACTCTAAAACTAAGCCCACTAGAGACACAGACTTGTTTTCTGAACTCACCATACAATGTGATGCTGGCATTTGTATTCCCAAGCTTGTTTGTTGCCACACAAGTATAGTTCCCATAATCCTTTTCTGAAACATTGAAGAAAGTCAGTGTGGACATGCGGCCTTTATTCTCGATTCTTACTCCATCCAGGCCAGTGGCTAACCTGAAATGAGAGGGTGACACTATCTATATGGTTCTATAAGACAGAATAAAAAATCAGATAGAAAGATGCTGAGCTATGGGTACTTCTGTACCACCTTAAAAATACTCACATGGTAATTCTACCTCAGGGACCTACTCCTTTGTAAGCCCCCCTGTTCCTAATCCTCATCTCCCTAATTCCAAGCATCATCATCATCATTACCACCATTAGGAGCAAAAAGGAAAATTTGGTCAAAAGCAAGTGGGAATCTAGGATCAGAGACCTACAACTGGAAGGAACTTTAGAGGCTACCTACTAATCCCCTTCCACCAGTTGCCAGGACCACCAAAAAAGGCTTGCCTTGTCTATGCCTGCCTCTCCAAGCAGTCATTCCATTGTACTCCAGGCACCCTTTCTGGCCATTTACAGCTCTACAGTGCTTGCCTTGTCTCTGCCTGGGCACCCTCCCCTCCTAATCCCTTTCCAGACCACACACAGCTGCCTAAACCCTGGGACAACTCTACCCAAGGCCAAACCCCTATGCATAAGGATAAGCTACCTGAACTCATGCCTCAATGATGAGATAATTCTACCCAGAATACCTACCCCATCTCAGTGATTCTACACATCCAGTTGCCATTGTTCTAACCCTGTTCTTCAAACCTTTATTCCCATTCCCCTCAACCTAACTCCCTCCCTTGACATCTGACTCTAAAACTATGAAACCCTTCCACTCTGCTCTCTACAATGCTGGTTCCAGGTACCAAACTGACTGCTAATCTTAAACCTTTGCCATTCTCTCTCCATCTATCTTTCTTGCACTCACTGAGACCTGGCTCCCACCTGATGACACAGTTTTCCTGATTACCTTTTCCAGGATTGTTATTCCTTGCTCTTCATTGGTACTTCTAGGCACTGCCTCTACCACCATCATTCAGTAACCTCTCCTCTTTGAGTAACCTCTCCTCATTCAATCCATATTTATTATCCAATCAACATTCTGGTGACTATTTTCTATAGGCCTCCAAGACACTCTCCTTCCTTCCAAAGTAACTTCAGTGCCTAGCTCTACATTGTCCTCTTCTCCCCAACTCTGTTCATTCTATAAATCCAACATGCATATTGATACTGACTTAAATACCCAAATTTCTCAATTCCTCAATTTACTAATTATAACCCTCTCCACCATCTCACTACAGCTATACATAGAAATGGTCATACCCTTGATCTTACCATCACGCACAAGTGTTTCAGATCTAATTATTTTTTATCTGACAAGTCTATTGACATTCTGCTTCTCCTTGTGCTTTGCAACTCCAGTCCCTGTTCCTCATCCTCACTGAAATCTCCAGTCCTCCTACCCCTTACTTCTTTCCCTAGTCATCACTCTTGCACTGACTATATTTTTCTTCCTTCTCCATCTTGACCATTTGGTGAACTAGTTGAACTCTTGCCTCTTTATCCTAACAAAGATCTTGCTTGGATTAGTCCCACCATTCACTGCCTTCCTTCCTACTTACAGGCACTGGGGAACAAAGTTAGAAAAATTCATGAAACCTGCTGATTGGGCCCTGTATACATTTGTTATGTAATCCCAAATAGGTCCTCAATGTGGCAAGGCAATCCTTTTACAACTTTCCAAATCATTTCAATATTCCATTTACTACAGTGGTTCTTCCAACCTTTAAATCACTTCTTAAACATCCCAAAGCTACCCTGTCTCCAAAATTCAGCTGAGAACTTTGCATCATATTTCACTAAAAAAAAAAAATGAAGTTATTTGCAGAGAGCTCTTCTCCTCTGTTCCTCATCTCATATCATTCAAATGTTTTCTCCTACTTCAAAGCCACTTGAATACATTCACTCATTTTACATGAAGAGGTGACCCTTCTCCTTGCCAAGAAAAACCCTGTCCTTGCATAAGTGATTCCACTCCATCAGATTGCCTCCTCTATCATCCCTACTTTCCCATTTATCTTAAACGGATCCTTTCTACTGGCCAACTCCCTTCTGCCTTGAAATATGCAAAATGTATTCCCCATCCTCAAAAAAACCCTCACTTTATTCATCCATCCCTGCTAGCTATTGTCTCATTTCTTTCCTCCATTTTGTGTCTTAACTCCTTGAGAAAGTTATCCATAATGGATGTCTCCACTTGATTTCTTTTTATTCTTTTCTTAACTCTTTGAAGTCTGGCTTCCCATCTCATTTGCTCTCTCCGAAGTCAATAATAATCTCTTCATTGACAAAACTAATAGCATTTTCTCAATTATCATAATTTTTAACTTCTGTCTCCTTTGAAATTGTTAAACACCCTCTTCTCCCTCACACTCCTTCTTTCCAGGTTTTTGGGACATGCTCTATCCTTGTTTTTCTCTTAACTGTCTGACCAGTCATTTTCTATGTCCTTTATTGGATCTTCATCCAGGACACACCTGCTAACTGTGCATAATTGCAATAACCTGATGGTTGATTGATCTCCTTGCTTCAAGTCTCTACCCACTACAATCCATTCTTCACTCAGCTATCAAATTTTTCTTCCTAAAGATCAATTCTGACCATGTCACACACCACCTTCCCCCATTCAATCAACTTCAGTTTCTCTCTGTTACCTTCAGGATGAAATATAAATCCTCTCTTCAGCTTATAAAGCCCTTCTTAACCTCATCCCTTTCTACCTTGCCAGTCTTCTTTCCCCACAATATATTCTGTGACCTAGTGACACTGACATCCTTGATGTTCCTCACACATGACACTCCATATCTAGACTCTGAGTTTTTTCATTGGCTGTCTCTGATTTGGGCAACACTCTTTCTCCTTATCGATCCATCCTAGTTTCCCTGATGTCCTTCAAATCTTAGCTGAAGTCCAACCTTTTGCAAGAAGCCTATTCCAGTCCACCTTAATCTTCATGTCTTCCTTCTGAGACTACTTCCAATTTAGTCGTACATAGTCCTTTGCATGTTGTTTCCGCCTTTAGACTATAAACTCCCTGAGAGGAGGGACTGTTCTGGTTTTTTGTTTTTGTTTTTTCTTTTTTTCTTTTTTTCTTTTTTTTTTTTGCATTCTCAGGGTCCAGTGTCTGGTACAGCAGGTATTTAATAACAAATTGAATGACTGAGTGATTGAAGACCAAGTAGATAAATAACTTGCTCAAGGTCACAAAATGAAATGTCAGAGATACAATTCAAACTCAGGCACTATAGGCCTTCTTTCTCTAAAGGTAGGGATATTTATATAGAATAAGAGATTTTGAACAAAGTCATTGAATACAGAGTATGAAACAGCTATCTTAACACATAAGTTCTAGCAAATTCTTTACAACTTGACAAGGAGATGCATTGGTGGGAGATGTCAGCAGCAAGAACATTTTTGCTGTTTCTACACCTTCCTCTCCTATTACCCGCACTGATAAACAAAAGGACTTGGACCCAAAAGAGATGTCTTGATCTATTTGATCAGCTTCAAAGTAGCCCCATCTCATATTTCTGGGTACCTGGTTTCCTCCTTGAACCACTGGAATTCAGCCAAGGGGACAGCAGAAGCTTCACATCTGAGAATGCCCTTCTGACCCACTGACACCCCGGTGTTCTTGGCATTTGAGATATAGGGAGGATCTGCAAAGTAAACAGTTAGATCATAAAAGAGTTGCTAAGGGAGCCCTTCTATGATGCCAAAGAATTTCCTAAAAATATCTCTTTAATCTAGCATCCCAAACAACAATTTCCCAGTTAAAGATATTACATTTACACTAATACCTATTTAATGGATTCTTCCCAAACCTGTTTTGCTTTCATAAGGCATGTAAGGGAGGGAGACAACTTGGTACCCACAGATGCAAAACAACCCGCCTGAAAGCTCAGTAAGAATTACAGAAGCCAATATGACTTCAAGAGAAAATACAGACAGAGCTGGATATGGGAGTATGTACCTTGATAGGGTATTTGACTGAAGATACCACCCTGAGTCATTCAGTAAATTGGATAGGATGAGGCCTCTTCTTCCTTTTCTCCCCTCTCCCATTATTTGCCCATTTACCCCAACACACACACACACACACACACACACACACACACACACACACACACACTTCTTGAGAGCAAGCTTTGAATGACAACTCACAGTTTACGGTGATTTTTACTTTCCGTACATCTGGAGCAGCAACATCATTCAAGGCGCTGCATTCATACTCCCCAGACTGGTCCCGTGTGATGCCAGAGATCTCCAGATACTCATCCTCACTCACAAAGCCTTGACCTTCTGGAAAGAAAAAATCAAATGGGTAAACGATCTAGTACCTGGGGGCAGAAGGCAAGAAAAATCAATCAATCAAAAAGCATCTATTAAATACCTACTATATGCCAGGTACTGTGCCAAGTGTTGGGAATACAAAGACAAGAGCAAAATAGTCTGTGCTCTTAAAAAGCTTACATTTAAATAAGGAGACAATATATCCATATATAGGTTGATGCAAGGCCAATAGAAATCAAATAGAAGGTAATCTTGATGAAAATGAATGAGTAGATGGGAGCCAGTAGAGGGAGGTTGGATCAAGAAAGGCCTCGTATGGAAGGTAGAAAGGTATTAAAAGAAACCAGGGATTCTAGCACATTGAGCCATTGAGAGAGGGAGGGAAGGGAGAGAGGGAGGGAGAGAGAGAGGGAGGGAGGGAGGGAGAGAGAGAAGGAGGGAGGGAGAAAAAGAGAGAGAGAGAGAGAGAGCATTCCAGGCATGGTGAAGAGCTAGAGAAAAGGCACAGAGATGAGAGATGGTGTGGAACATCAAGCCAATACGGCTGGACTGTAGAGAGAATGAGGGATATGATAGGATAAGGAACAGTAGGTTGTTAGAAAATAAAACAAAATTTTGCAAAGGCTAAAACCAACAGAAAAATGCATAATGGATGTTCTATACATGTGATTCAGGAATTTTTTGAAGAAAACATGTCCACATCCATTAATGTTTGAAACCCATATGAAAACAAATTCATTTACAAAGATATGCATGACTTCTAACTTTTTCATGGAGTAGAAAAGCTTCTTAAAAGCAGAGGCAGTAACGATTATATAATACTAAGCAAAGACTTAAATGAATGGATGCATGGATAAATCAAAATTGGGCATATCAATATAAATAAAGGAGGTTTTAATAGTAAACTGCAGGTGATGAAGAGGGGAAAGGATGAAGAATTCTTAGTGGATGAACACACAATACTTAGTGCCCTCATGATAATCCATATGGACCCACGAAATATCCGAGGCATCAATTGGATGTTTCACTCTTGGAGGTTTGTAAGATTTTCAAAAGCTATTCCTTGCTAGCAGCTGTAAAGATCCTGGAGCCATCTCCCCTCCCCCCATATTTTGTACTCCTCTGTAAAATTCTAGACCAGAACACAAGGACTGACTTGTTGTGTATGTGTTGAGTATCTCCAAATAAAATCTAGTAAAAAGTTTTTCCTATGAAAAGCTAACCCAAAAGGGATCTAAAGAATAGGTTAAAGAGTTCATATTTCTTCTAGGCCTGTAGTCTGTTTTTTGTTTTGTTTTGTTTTGTTTTTGTTTGTTTTGTTTTGTTTTTTGTTTTGTTTTAAGTCCTGGGCCCATGTTTTGGTATGTGTCTTAATGAATAATATCAGCAATTTTTTTTTCCATATGCTTGAGAAAGCTTATTCTGAACATGTGATTGCTTCTCCAGCCAAGACTGGAGTCTATCTTCAGGTGAATGTGAGATGAGTAGTGCCATGCAGCATGGTTTGGAGAAAATTACCCTCTTCCTTATCTTCAGTATCGTTGCTGTAGTTCAGTTGTTTTTTCAGTCATGTCTGTCTCTTCATGACCCCATTTGGAGGTTTCTTGGCAAAGACACTGGAGTGGTTTGTTGTTTCCTTCCCCAGCTCATTTTACAGATGAGGAAACTGAGGCAGACTGGGTGAAGTGACTTGCCTAGGGTCACACAGCTAGTAAGTGCCTGAGGCCAGATTTGAACTCAGGAAGATAAGTCTTCCTGACTCCAGGCCCAGCACTCTATCCACTGTGCCCCCTACCTGTCCCATCTTCATTATAACTAGTGTTTTAATAAGTGCTTTAAGGTTTGCAAAACACTTTATAAATAGTATCACATTCTATGCACACAACAACCTTGGGAAGTAGGTGTTATTATCATCCCCACTTTACAGATTAGGAAATGGAGAAAGCCAGAAATAAGACATGCTTTGCTTTCTCTGATCTGCCCCTAAATCCAGATATAACAAGTAGCCTTTAGTTTATACCTAGCTCTTCTTCTACTGCTCCCAGATCCTTTATCCTTACTATCTTTTCTGATACTATCCCCCAGTGCCTCAGGTGATACCAACAATGCCTAGACACTGCTCTTTCCACCTTCCCGAAGACTGGGTTTAGCTCTGATCAGCAGAAGTCTTAGTTTCCAAAGTGATTTCTGCTCCAGGCCTCACAAGATTTCTAAATCTAAACATTCTTATGGAAGAAACACAGGATCAAAACAACAAAACCAAGTGCTTTCTCCCACACTAATTCCTGCTTCTCTGGTTCCACAGTTACCAATCTTGTACAGATCCATCCTTTAAGCCCCAGCTCTGGGTCATGAAGGCCTCCCTTCCCTCCACAAGTAGCAATGATATTCAGAGGTCACATACCCCTTTGAACCTCCCATTATACTTTATAACTCTCGGTGTAAATATGCAAAAGATCTATAACTTCATCAGCATAAAGAATGTCTACATGGGAACCTCCTCCACAAAAGCAGAAGACAATGTATTAATGACTTAGTAGATGGCACAGTGGATAAAGTGCTGCTCCTGGAGTCAGGATGATTCAACTTCTTGAGTTCAAATCTAACCTCAGACACTTACTGGCCATGTGACCCTGGGCAAGTCACTTAACCCTGTTTGCCTCAGTTTTCTGTAAAATGTGCTAGAAAAGGAAATGGCAAAACCACTCCAGCTTCTCTGCCAAGAAAATCCCAAATGGGGTCAAAGAGAGTTGGACAAGACTGCAATGACTGAACAACAACAAAGAAATTAGATGAGTTGCCTAGGGTCATAGAATCGGAAGCTTTTAGAGGCTGGGTTTAAATTCAGATCTTTATTACTTCAAGCCAAGGATTACAACCAATACAAAATGCTGCCTCCACTGCAACTCTAACATCATCTTTTATTTAGTAAAGGAAGTTAGGTGGCATAGTGGAAAGAGTCCTAGACCACTAGTCAGTATGACTTGAGTTCAAATACTGCCTCAGATACTAGCTTAGTGACTTTGGTCAAATTCCTTACCTTCTCCTAAACTCACTTTCTTCATCTGTAAAATGAGGACAATAATAGCACCAAGTAGAAAGGGTTGTTATGAGGAGCAACATGAAAAGGTCTTTGCAAACCTTAAAGAGCTATATAAATACTAGCTGCTGCCGTTGCTGTTCCTCCTTCTTCTTCTCCTCCTCCTCCTCCTCCTCCTCCTTCTTCTCTATATCATGATGATTAGTGCATGTGTTATGCCTCCCCACTAGAGACTCTAAGTTCCATGTGAGCAGAGACAAAACCTTAATTTTTTAAAAATTTGCTTGCCTTTCCTCCCCTGTAACACTCTACTTTCCCCAAATCTTTAAAATGGAGATCTATACATAACACTTACTTAATAAATTTTCATTCAATGTTGTTAGAAACAGGCTAAAATTATTTTGCAGGCTCAATTTACTTCCCTGCAAATATTGGATTGTATATATGTATTTATGAGTATATGTATGTATGTGTTCGTATTATGCATTTTGTATATGTTTGTGTGTATGTGCACATGTGTACGTGTGTGTGTGTAGGATCTACTAAAAACAATGTTTCATTGCTCTTCCAAAATGTACTATGAGCATTTGCCACAAGTAATTAAAAATAAACTATTTAGCCAAACAAATGAGTACCCTACCATGGGGCTTGGCAGGAGCCTCAGGCTGGGTCACAGGTTTCCATTCTTACTCGGAGGGAACAAGAAGGCCTACTAGGTCATATCACAGAGTCTACACCAGCCAGATGCTTTGAGATTCCCCCCGAGAAAGGAACCTCCATGAACACCAATCCATCTGGAAGATGTTTATTCCCCCCAGTGGGCAGGGATTTGGATTTATGCCCCAAACTACCAAGCATCACCCCAAGAAAGATAGATGCTGCTTGCTGAGCTGCGAGTGTGTTTTATTTGTGGCATTTATATCAGTGGGACAGAGCCTGGGCACCTAGCAGTAAATAACTGGCCTACGTGGCTTCCCCCTGGAATGTGGGATTTTATCACTGTCATCTGTTATGCCCTTTTCTTAGGAGCCTTATGTGACAAGAGGAGAGAAGGAAAATTCTGTAGGAGTAGTTGAGAGTCTTCCTTCCTGCACTGGAGAACCTCTTTGTTTCTTTGGCAGTCAATAGGATTTGTTGAGTAGAATACAAACTCTTTGAAGGCAGGGCCATGTTGTTTTGCTCTGTATCCACAGAGACCAGAATAGTCCCTTGTATTAGCAGGCACTTAACAAGCATTCAGTGAATTTTATTAGGGACTCATCGTGCAGAGAGTCCTACAGTTCTAGAATAATAGAACTGTGCAATGTCAGAGCTTGAAGGGACTTTAGAAATCACTCAGTCCATTCCCTTTTTAACAGGGCTGAAAGCAATATCTTCCAACTATGTCCCTCCTACTTCAGTTTTTATATTTCTTTCTGGAAGCTACTCAGGGTAATTTCTGTGGTTTATTCCTAATTACTAGGCAATGATGGAATCCAGAAAAGCCAGGGGAAGAGAGAGAGAGTGTTTTCCCTCAGCCTCAAACAGCCTCAGTCCCTACTACTTGGGAAGGACACACTCTGGGATTAGGAAAAACTGCATGGAATTCAACTACCCTAATTTGACTAGAAGAAAGGAATGAGAAAGCTGATTGAGACAGGAGTTAGCAGAAGTTAGCACAACTGGAAATGTGTGAGATAGCTAACAGGTAATATTGATTCTACTTATTTCATTGTAAAAGTTGTCACACTTTCCTGAGAGTCACCAGAAGCAAGGCAGAGTGACAGTGGTGGAACAGAAACTAGTAGATAGCTGAGGACTTCCTTGACCAAGAAGAAGAGGTCCAAGACCATGCTAAGGCCTTCAGGATCTTGCAAGGTAATAGTAAGGATACACTGCATCATATGTTCATGGATTTTAAGCTGGAAGACAACTTAAGTCTAGTGAAGAAGCTTGTATTAAGTGTATACTCTGGGCCAGGCACTGTGCT